TACGATTAAGCTAGAGTGCATGCTTGGAAGATAGCTGTCAAGTCTAATGGCTACAAATCTAAGGAACATAATATACAAGCAGAGGTTGATTCGGGGGGAGATCGCAGTTCCCCCGGGTGAGGTGCGGGGGGCGGGGCACATGACGAAGCCCCGCCCCCTGCTTCCGGCCGTCCCGCTTCCGGCCCTCATTCAGCCAGGAGGAGGCAGGAGAAGAGGGAGGGTAAGTTGCTTCCTCCCCGCCTCTCCCCACCCCTGCCTGCCTGGGGCCAGGGAGGGCCTTGGCGGGGCTTCCCCGCACTCCCGCCGGCCTTGCAGGTCCACCGCCGGGCCCCTGATGTCAGGGGGTGTGGCATATGCTAATGAGTTATGCTAATGGGTTCCCCTAGCTCTTTTTCTACGAAACGACCCCTGTATACAAGCGTAACTCCAGCTCAGTTACAATGCAAGACCATTAGTCCTGACAAATGATGAAGCAGACACACCCCCAGGCCCCTGAATGTACCACTGAAGAGGAGTCTGGGTCCCAGTGTGAATGTCACAGCCTTCGGGCAAAGCATGCAACAAGACGTATCATAAACATACACGTCTCAGGGAGCCTCGGGAGCGCCCTTTGGCAAACGTGACATTGGCGGTGGTGGTGGTGCAAAGTGCCGTCCAATCACAGCCGACTTACGGCCACCCTGTAGGGTTTTTGAGGCAAGAGATGTTCAGAGGCGGTTTGCCGTTGCCTGCCTCTGTGTAGCAACCCCTGACTTCCTTAGTGGTCTCCCGTCCAAGTATTAACCGACCAACCAGGGCCAACCCTGCTTAGCTTCCAAGAGCTGATGAGATCGGGCTAGCCTGGGCCATCCAGGTCAAGACAGAGCTGCAGAGATATTGCCTGCCTCTGCACGGCAACCCTAGATTTCCTTAGCGGTGCCGACAAGTAGCAGCTGACTTCAGGGTTTTCAGGGCAAGAGACGTTCAGAGGTGGTTGGCCATGGCCTGCCTCTGCGTAGCAACCCCTGACTTCCTTGGTGGTCTCCCATCCAAGTATTAGCCAGGGCCAACCCTACTTAGCTTCCAAGAGCTGATGAGATCGGGTTAGCCTGGGACGTCCAGGTCAAGGCAGAGGTGCAGAGGTAATTTGCCATTGCCTGCCTCTGCATGGCAACCCTGGACTTCCTCAGTGGTGCTGACAAGTAACAGCTGACTTATGGCAACCTGTAGGGTTTTCAAAGCAACAGACATCCAGAGGTGGTTAGCCACGGCCTGCCTCTGCGTAGCAACCCTGGACTTCCTTGGTGGCCTCCCTTCCAAGTACTAGTCTGGGCCGACCCTGCTTACCTTGCAAGATATGACGAGATCGATTGGGCTGACCTGGGCCATTCAGGTCAAGCCAGAGATGCAGAGGTAATTTGCCATGGCCTGCCTCTGCACAGCAACCCTAGACTTCCTCAGTGGCGCTGACAAGTAGCAGCTAATAGCAACGCGCCGGGTTTTCAAAGCAAGTGACATTCAGAGGTGGTTGGCCATTGCCTGCCTCTGTGTAGCAACCCTGGGCTTCCTCGGTGGCCTCCCTTCCGGGGACTAGTCAGGGCTGGCCCTGCTTAGCTTCCGAGAACCGACGAGGTCAGGCTAGCCTGGGCCATCCAGGTCAGGAAACTTGACGTTCTCCCCAGCAAATGGTGCAAAACAGCCCTAACGCCACAACCGAGCTTACCTTGGAGTGGCTCTTGCTAAACCTTTTTATCTTGGGCACGTCGCTTGCGAGGAACGTCGGCTGGGCCTCCTTGTTCATTTGCTTCACGTGGCAGGCAATCAGAATGGTCCTGGGCGTTTGTTTGGGGGGGAGAAACAAAGAAAATTGAGGCAACACCACCTCTGGCTCTGCAACAGTTCCGGACATCCCGCCGAACCCTTGCAGGGAAAGAAAGGTGCTCTACAACCGGTCAGTTCTGCTCTGTTTGCAGTGGGAACTTTGGGGGGGGGGATCCCCCACCCCAAGTTGTGCCTTCCCAGTCACATTTCCACCCCTCATCCCTTCAGCTGCCCCTCCGGCATTTGAGGAAGCTGTGCACCATCCTGCTCTTCTCCGTGTAATGAACGGAACGGAGACACGCTCGGGATCCAGTAGAAACACAGCGGCATATTTTGAGCTTGAATGTTAATTGAGATCAGCGTCCTATCTGAATTTAATATTCTTAAGACTCGTTGTCTAACATTTATGAAACTGAGAGCTTTGGCACCACTATAATATCTCCTGAAGAAGATTTTTTTTTTTTTGAAACGTTGTTATGTAATCCGGAGACGACGTTGATTATGTACCTTGGTTCAAGGATTTTCTATTGAGTAGTGTATCATGTTGTAGTGCTTTAGATTGCAATACATAAACAGCATTCTTTATAAGTCTTA